TTGAACCCATTTGCATGTGTTATGAAGTGTCTTAATGTTTTAAAATGTTTGGGTGTGCTCTAAAATGAATCCCAAGTGTTGCGTGTGAAATTCAACAAAATTTGAGAATGTCACTTTTGGAGCTCTCCAATATCGCATGTTCGAGTGCCACGGCGCTGCACTAAACCAAAGAGCCGGAAAGTGACATTGTTGCACCGTACTCTCAGATTGCTATAGGTTTTTGAGCGCCGCATCGCCCAGATTGAGCGCTGTAGTGCTAGGCTATTATGAGAATTTTTATATATTTTAAAATCCATTTCTTCTAATCATTTAAGAGCCAAGACAGCCACAGAGGGGAGAGAAAGAGAAGGTTTTAGAGAGAGAAAATTCATTTTGAGCCGCTTCAGGCCATTTTTAGCCGCCAGGCTAGTTGGAAAAGTTGTCCGGAGTAAGGTGAGTCACATTTTACCTATCTATGTTTTAAAAAATTTGATATATATTTTTTAATTTCTCAGTTAAATTTATATTTCTATTAGCGAAAAATGTGTATAACTTTGTACTGATAAAACCTTCACAGCGTAACTTTTTATATGTTATTGAGATCGAGATTATGAACGTTTTGAGTATTTTCTGAAAATTTTCTATCGGGTATTTAAAATGTGTGTGATTATTATTGAACAGAAAAAAAATCTTAAAAAAAGTGCTTTAATACAATTAAAGTCTTGAAATGATTTATACAATCCTTTATAATTTTATTATATTTTGAAACTGTTCATTTTGACTGTTCATTTGACCCAGTAAGTATTCTATTTAACCATATTTTTATACAAGTTTTGAGAATAGAATGATAGTGTTATTCAGTAATAGATGGTTGATATTGCTTTTATTAGAATGTCTGAAATACAAGTAAAGATTGGCTTATCCGTTGGTTGGAGAATGATTGAATTGTATATAATGGTGGGACAACGTGATTTCCTTTAAATACTATGATTTTGTGTTATCCGATACAATGATAAAATGATTTCAGAGCAACAATTGGGAGTTACACGAAGATGATTATTGTGCCGACAGGTCCAAATTAGATTATGGGGTGTGACAAAGGGCCTTAAGCCCGACATAGAGTGAACCTTTGATTGCTGAGGCCAAAGGGGTTGAAGAAGCTGATGGAGCTAACACATATAGCAGAGGATCAGAGGCAGATGGAGAGAAGCAACAAGAGCGAGGTAGCGGGAGGCTCTTATTGAAGTACCTCAACTTCTATAAGAGAGCAAAAGATCCGTGCTTTCGTAGTGATGAGAAATATGCACCAAGCCATTGATGCAAGGATCGCACACTCAATGTCTTTCTAGTTTGTGAGGAGTAAGAGACTGATAGTGAGGACCTGGAGGAGGAAGCAGAAGAAGGAAGAGAACACCTACACTTTAATGTGGCTGAAGTGTCCCTGAATTCTGATGGGATTTCTCCAAATCACACCATGAAGGTGAGGGGGCAGATCGGGGAGCAGCTAGTGGTGATCTTGGTGGATAGAGGGGCTACTAATAACTTCATCTCCAACTGGGTCGTGGACCAGTTGGGATTGAAGTTGGTGGATACAAGGAGCTTTAGAGTCATGATGGGAACAAAAAAGATAGAGAGGAGTAGGGGGATTTATAGGAGGTTGGTGCTGACACTCGAGAGTAAACATATAGTGGAGGACTTTCTTCCCTTGGATTTGGGAAGCATCGATGTGATCTTAGAGATGAAGAGTTACAGATGATCGTGGAGACTAAGGTGGACTAGAAGTCCTTAACCATGGAGATTCAGGTGGAGAGGAAGAAGGTGGTGCTGTGAGAGGATGTTAGCTAATGCAGAACTATAGTTTCACTCAAAATCATGGTCAAGGCGATACAGGGAGCAGGACATACTTGGTAGAGCTGCAGAGTTTGGAGTAGATCCGAGATTCATAGGTATACATGGTCCGGGAGTGCGTATATCAGCTTCTGTTACAGTTTCCTTCAACAGCCTAGCATATTACCACCACCCCCGGAGCATGAGCACACTATCATTGAAGGAGGGAGCTTCTCCTATCAGTGTCCAACCATACCGGTACCCACAGATTCAGAAGGATGAGATAAAGAGGCTCATCAGAGAGATGTTGAAGGCAAGGATTATTAGGCCCATTGTGAGCTCCTTTTCCATCCAGTATTACTAGTAAAAAGGGATGGTAGTTGGAGATTTTATGTGGATTATAGTGCCCTAAACAAAGAAATTGAGTGTGAGACCTCGTTCCCTTACTGTTCCTCTCTGATTTGGATTTTTCTCTCAGGATCGTCCAGGCCGATCGGTACTGTAGAAAATATCGGCCTGCAGATAGTTCTGGGAACCGTCCAGGACGATTTTTCTGGTCTGATCGTCCCGGGACGATTTGGCGATCGGCCGGGCCGATCAGACAAATGATATATGAGAATGAGATCGTTTTGAGGAGAGAGAAAATCATTTTATAAAAAAAATCAGATATTTTGAGGAGAGAGAAAGAGAAAGAGAAAGGGAAAAAGAGGAAACCTGGTTTTGGAGGCCGCGGAGCGCTTTTCGTCCGACGCTGCTGTTGGGAAAAGTGAAGATCTCGTGGTAAGGACTCCGAACCCTATTTCTGTTTTCAAAGATATTGAGTTTTGACCGAGTTGTGGGTTGTTTTGTGTTTTCGTAATCGACTTTTCGACGTGATTTCTTATTGACACAACTTTCACCGCACAACTTTTAGTATGTTATAGATATGATTATTGCACACGATTTGAGTATTTTTTACG